CTGTTCCTCTGTCGGTTATTACTGTAGATGGAGCCCCGTGGTGCAGAACAATGTGGCACATGAAAAACTGTGCTACCTCAGAAGCCGTGGCTCGTGGTATTGCCTGTGTCTCAGCATAGCGGGTCAAATAGTCAGATGCAACAATGACCCATTTGTTGCCATCGGACGATAAAGGAAATGGGCCGAGAATGTCCATACCGACTTGGTCAAATGGCTTGTCGGGTGGATCAATTGGCTGAAGTAATCCAGCGGGCTTGCTTGGTGGTGACTTTCGACGCTGGCATTCAAGACAGCTTTTAACGTACTGCTTCACGCTTGCCGAAAGTCCGGGCCAGTAGTATGCCTCACTTACTCTGGCGAGCGTTCGCGAGTAACCTAGATGACCAGATGTGGGCTCGTCATGACACGCGGAGAGGACTTCGTCCCGCGTGTCCTTCGGAATGACAAGGAGATAAGCGCGGCTCGTAGAACGGGCTTTTTTTTTGTACAGGACATTATCTCGGAGGCAGAAAGACGTCACGACGCGAGATAGATGGCGAGGTATAACGGCGCTATGACCCTCCAGATAGTCGATGAACAATCGAATCTCTTCATCCTCTCGCTGGCGTGTGCTCAAGTCAGATGAGCTAAGGGCGCCCAGGAAACCGTCATCGTTCTCTTCCTCTTGACTGACTAAAGGTGCACGCGACAGCGTATCAGCGTCTTTATGCTTCCGTCCAGACTTGTATACGATGGTCACATCAAATTCCTGTAGACGCAAGCTCCATCGGGCCAGTCATCCAGAGGGATCAGGAATGTTTACCAACCAGCAGAGGGCATGGTGGTTCGTCACCACTTTAAATGGACGACCATTGAGGTACGAGCGAAACTTGGTGATCGCCCACACTACTGCGAGACACTCTTTCTCTGTGGTCGTATAATTCACCTCGGTACGGGACAGTGAGCAGCTGGCATAGGCTATGACTCGTTCTTTGCCGTGTTGATGCTGGACGAGCACTAAACTGAGGCCGATGTTATTGGCGTCAGTGTGCACCTCTGTGTCAGCATCATCGTCAAAATGCGCAAGAACAAGGGCTGACTGCATCCGCTGTCGTAGCTCGGCAAAAGCAGCCTGTTGCTCGGTAGCCCATACAAACAGTGTGTCGTCGCGTGTAAGGCAAGTCAAGGGTTCCGCTATCTTCGAAAACCCTCTAATAAATCGTCGATAGTAGGCGCACAAGCCCAGAAAGCGCCGAACAGTCTTTTTGTCTGTAGGATGCAGAAACGCGGCTACAGCGGCAAGTTTGTCGGGGTCAGGTCGGACTCCTTTCGCGTTGACTACATGGCCAAGGAATTTAAGCTCTTCATAACCAAAGTGACACTTCTGTGTTTTTGAGTGTAAGATCTGCTGATTGAATAGCCTGTAGCACACTCCTGAGGCGGTGGAGATGTTGCTGGAAGGTTTCAGAAAAAACGACAACATCATCAAGGTATACGAGACAAGTTTGCCACTTCAGACCAGTAAGCACAGTGTCCATCATTCGCTGGAAGGTTGCAGGCGCTGAGCACAAACCAAAAGGAAGGACTCGAAATTCATACAGGCTGTCAGGGGTCACAAAGGCCGTTTTCTCGCAGTCTCGCTCGTCAACCTCAATGTGCCAGTACCCGCTTTTTAAATTCAAAGAGGAAAAATAGTGGGCGCGGCGTAATCTGTCTAACGAGTCGTCGATGCGTGGCAGCGGGTACACGTCCTTTTTAGTCATGCTGTTCAGTTTCCGGTAATTGACGCAAAAACGTAGCGTTCCGTCTTTCTTCTTGACTAGGACGACCGGAGAGGACCACGCACTGTTGGAAGGCTCGATGATGCCGTCGTCAAGCATTTCTCGAACTTGCGTACGAATGGCTTCTCGTTCTTTCGCTGACACATGGTAAGGCTGTTGGTGTACTGGGCGGGCGTCGTCGTGATGATTCTGTGCCTAGTGATCGAAGTCTGACGCACCTTAGAGGAAGCAGTGAAGCATGACTTAAATTCAAGCAAGAGTTTTCGCAGTGCTGTCTGATTTTCTAGTGTGAGGTTAGAATTAATATCGATATTGTTTAGAGACGTATCGGCGGCCTCCACTGCGTCTGACGAGAAGCAGATGAGAACGGTTCCTAATTCATCAGCAAACGCTAACGAAGTGCCACGGAAAAGGTGTCGGTGTTCGTTGCTGAAATTTGTAACGAGCAGTTGAGATCTGCCATTACGTAGCTGTATGATACTCCTAGCCACACAAACACCTTGAGTCAGCAGGTGTTCAAAATTACTTTCTGCAATCGCTTCACCATTTCGCAATCCACAGCATGTGACGTCGACAATAATACTGGCTCTTGGAGGAAGCGTTATACTTTCAGCAGAAACACAAAGAACGTCGGCACGTTGTTGGTCGTCCTGCTTGTCAATTGCTCGGTCGGCTGAGAAGGTGATGCGATTCTCTTGAAGATCAATGACAGCTCCATACTCCTGCAGGAAGTCAACACTAAGAATTACGTTGCGTGAACATTCACGGAGCACAAGGAAACTTGCTACAAAAGTATAACCGCAGACCCAAACTCTACTCGTGCAGGTTCCAAGCGGAGAGACGGTGTGGCCACCAGCCGTTCGAATCAAGGAGCCATGCCAGGGCGTGATTACCTTCTTTAGTAGTCTGGTCATTTTCCCGCTTAGTATCGAATAGTCAGCCCCGGTATCAACTAAAGCACCTACTGCATAGCCGTCTATCAGCACCGGTATATCCAGAGAAAGCCGCACATATTGCTCAGTCGAATCTACACCCTTTACTGTTAGCGTCGATCGGAGGTCTTCAGCACGTCGACTGCCAGCGACCTCGCCTCCAAGGGTCGCTTGCGTTAGTTTTCCCGGCGGGGACTGGAGGACCGTGCGCCAGCATGGCGCTGTGGCGAAGATGAAAAGCGCCTCGGCGACGGTGAGCGCGACTGCCGTCCAGAAGGCGGTGGCATGCGCTGTTGAGCCAGGTAGTCCTCAATGTCCCGGGGTCGCTGGCCGTACCGAGGAGGCGCTGAATATACTGAAAATCCGCACAGCCCGAGGCGCCGGTATGGACACTGGCGGTACAAATGGTCCGCTTCACCGCAGTGGAAGCACAAAGGTCGGCGATCAGGAGTGCGCCAAACATCAGGTTTCCGAGGCGAAGCACGTCTGTCGTCAAGGTAGTGTGCTCGTTGTTCCGCAAGATGCACAGGGTTGGCGTAAATGAGGGGTGAGGGCGTGCGTGTGTTTTCGTAGTACTGTAGAAGCTGCACCGACTGAAGTGAAACCGTAGGAGGTACCTGAACAAACAGCGGGGAAGAGGAAGCTGGGCGCTTCAAGGCTTCTGCATAGGTCGCACGGTGGTAGTCAGCCGGGGCGGGTGTGGCGTTATTCAGACTCACAGGGTCACGAAGGGCATGATGCAGCTCGTCCTTCACGATGCTTGCAATGGAACTTACCGTAGGTAGTGGTGGTGTGGCAGCCTTTTGCAGCTCCTCGCGTATTATGGAGCGGATAAGGTCGCGCAGACACTCGGTGTTGCTCCCAATAGTCGTGAGAACTTGAGCAGTGGACGTGTTCACTTGCCACTCATACAGGGTGGATCGATGCTGAAGCATCTTTTCCATCGTGACAGCTTCAGACAAAAACTCAGCGACCGTGTTCGGAGGGCTCCGTACAAGGCCAGCGAAAAGCTGCTCCTTAATGCAAGCCTGGATCGCTCGTTCCGCTCGTTCGTGGCGATCAGCACTTCTGTAAGTATCCAACAGCCGGCGGCGGAATTCGGGCCACGATGTCATCTGTTCCTCGTGATACCAGGTACGTGCTCCATCCTCCAAATAGAAGTACACACGTCGTAGTTTGGCCGCGTCGTTCCAGTCGTTCCAGTCGTTCAAAGCAGCCACGCGCTCGAAGTCGACCAACCAGTCCTCGACGTCTTCGAGCTCGGTGCCATGAAACGGTGTCGGAACCTGTGGACTTTCGAGGGTGTACCGAGTCACCGGGGGGTTTTCCATACCTGTTGAAGTGGTTTGAACGGACGTGCTCATCACACTGGTGTGAACTGTAGGGTCAGCTTCGGGAGGCAATCCCCTGATCCTGCGGCTTGTCCGATGAACGGGAGTGTTGACTCGCACTGGGCTTGTGATGCCGCTTCCAGGAGGGGTCTGAAACATCCGTGAGGGGCCTACCCAGCACCTCCACCAATTGTCACGTCACTCCAGGGGGTGTCGACAAGGTTTACTGACGTCTGAGCAACAGGGCTCTAACCAAGCGCGTCGGTTGGGCTTGTTTGCCAGAGCGGGGGCCCACGCACACTTCTTTCTTCTCTATGGTGTGTGCCTTCACCTTGGCATACGACCCACTACTAGAAGAAGGTGGCAATATATTGCATCGAGTATCACTGCCATAGTTTTATAGTATATAAACAGATTTTATGCTTGTTTATAGCATTTGATTCCAGGCTTTCTCACAACCATAACACACCCTGTAATCGCAAACATTGGTCATCACCACCACCATATAAGAGACTTGGCGCTCTTTGGCCACACATGGCCCTTGCGCCATAAAGCCTTATCAATCATCATAATCAGGCAGCAAACACCTTAGAAAAGAGCATTAAAGAAAAGAAAGCTGTCAGGATTATCTCGGGAACAACACTACTTGATGATTGCTGATTATGTATAGCTGACTGGATGCTGTACACTTCATGTACGTTACCTTATGAACTATGAAGATCATTTTGTCAAAGAAAAAAGAATTAGTTGTTATGCATTTGGTCACAGAGCTTATTCTAAATGGCATCCTAAACACATTAAAGGGTTCCTGATGAGAACAACAAATTGAATAAATGCTTGTGGCTTCCAAAGGGTCCTTAAGTGTCCTGTAAATTAATTATAGGGATGGTAACATGTATTACTTCATGCACATGCATTGATTGCCTAAGTCTAGAACCTTTTCATGCTCTTTCCTTTTTCTTTCCTGCCTACTGAAGGGTTAACACCACCACAGCGATGTGCATCAGCTGCTGATGAGGACTTTGTGTATGTCCCTGGGCCAGACACGTGTAGCAACCATTCAACTCCACTTTCCAATGAAAATGACCTTGAATGGGATGGCGACCTCTCAAGGTACATTAACACTGCATTTCAGCAGTCCTGCCTGGGGTAAGGGTGTAAGTGTACGAAAAGGTTACCACTACATATGTTCTTTCTAAGATTGGCTGTGTACACAGGCTTAAGGGCAGTGAATAGTGGTTTCGTTCTCTGCTGTAGTGTCTACATCTTGATTGAAGCACAGTGCAACAATGCTTCTATAATAATTATATTTAGGTGTATGTTAATGAACCCTGATGTGTCAGAATTTATCCAGAGCTCATAATTGTGGTGTGTCTCATAGTAAGATATGGATGTAGGTATTTAGAGCGCGGAATTGAATTAGTGATTGATCGTTCAAACTTAATCGGAAGTTGGCAGTGTCTTTACGCTTGAGGTCAGCCACTGAAATTGTAGCTAAGAAAGTGAACACTGGTCGACGCAGGCATAAAGAAACATTCTCTGTGTAGCTCATTTTCTTTAGCTGAATGAATTATCACTGTGCCCACATAGCTGCTTTGGCAGCCATTATATTCATGTTTTTTATGTGCAATATTTTTGTTAATATTTTAGAAAGAGTTTTACCAGCGTACAATGTCTGTTAGAAAAGTACTCGACCTTATTATATATTTTTTTTGCGAGCACCTAGTAGATTTGAAACAAGCGCGCTTGCTTCAGCCGACCATGAACCTTCGTGTGCATGTGTGAATTTTTTCCCGCCTGCCAAGAGCGTCAGTCGCTGGGACGCAGCATTTGAGTGACGTAGTGGGCAATGCTCTCGTCGATTTATCATTGCAAGGAAAATTACGGAGCGACTGGAGCAGCACTACTGCATCAAATTTTGGCAGAAACTGGGCGAGAGTCAAGTGGAAACCATTGGGAAGATCAAGACGGCTTTCGGTGTCGACGCTATGAGCCGCATACAGATTAAGGGGTGGTACCATTGGTTTAAAGATGGCTGCACATCGGTGGAAAGCGACTCACACTCCAGCCGGCCATCAACATGCCGAAACGACCAAGTCATTGCTGTTATGAAGAGGGACCATTGTGTGACTATCTAGGGAATTGTGGAATAGGTGGGCATCAACACTTTCTCTGCACATTTCATTATGACTGAAGATTTGGCCATGAAGAGAGTTGCGGCAAAATTCGTGCCGAAACTGCTCAAGGTGTAGCAAAAGTAACTTTGTGTTGAAGTCTCACAGGACATGCTGGATTCCACAAGCAGTGACCCTAACTTTATGAACACCATTGTCAATGGTGACGAGTCTTGGGTGGACGGGTACGATACGGAAACCAAATTTCAGTCGTCACAGTGTCCACGTCACCAAGACCAAAGAGGCCCGCCAAGTGTGCAGCAATGACAAAGTGATGCTGAGTGCTTTTTTTTTTTACTCCAGCGGTGTAGCACCCCATGAGTAAGCACCACAGGATCAAACAGTCACCAAAGAATACTACAGGGATGTTCTCCGGTGCCTATGTTATGCTGTGCGGTGCAGGAGATCTGACCTGTGGTCAACAGGAAACTGGCGCATCCATCACGACAATGCTCCTGCACATTCCTCACACTTGATTCCGACTTTTTCGGCAAAAATTTGGACTTTTGTTGTTCAACAGACTCCTTACTCTCCTGATATGGCCCCCTACAACTTCTGGCTGTTTCCCAAATGCAAGAGGACATTGAAAGAAGAGCTATTTCAGACAAGGGAGGACGTGGCTGCAACGACAACTGAGCTAAACTCAATAATGCTTCCAACAGTGGCAGTACCGCTGGGAGAAGTGTGGAGTCCCAAGGCGACTAATTTGAAGGGCATTAAGCTTCCAACGCTCCTGTTGTGCCAGTTTTTTTTTTTCTTCTGTCAAAGGTCGGATTCTTTTCTAACAGATCTCTTATGCATATATATGATATTTGAAAGTGCTTGCAGGCAGCAACTTCTTTGCGACTGGCAGAATGTTCTGGGCACATAGCCATCTACCACAAATTACAAATGTGCCTGTAGTATCTGTGCCAAAACATAAATTGCTGTTTTCACCATCACACTTTTAATTTTTTAAAATGAATAGTGACACTCAGCTTAAAATGAGGCATATTTTTCAGTGCGAAGCATCCTCTTTAGGTAATGTTTAAATGAGTTGTGTCGAACTATCATTATTTGCAGTGTCCAGATTGGAGGCTTTGACATGGAAACAGAACAGCTGATCTCAGAAATTGAACAGATGACTGCAGATGCCCTGAAAGAACCCTCCAGTGCTTCCAGATGACCATCTGTGCACTATCTAGGCAGGTGCGCCTGTTGAGGAGGGTCTTCTGTATTTTTCTTGTGCGTATGTCTGTGTGTGTTTTTGTGTGTGTATGTGCAGTGGCACATACTGCTTGATGTTATGTATGCTTCTGTTTATCTTCCTTGAACATCACACTGTAGTTGTTGTGTTTGCATAAGCATGGTAGGTGACAGTCCACCAGGCTAGCACAGTGGGTCCAAAGTTATATGACTAGCCTGATTCATTGCAGTTTTGGTGTGAAGCATAGCTGTCTTAATCAACCGAGGATGTGAATATGCTCCACTTAGCCTAAAAGTTATCCGTGAGCTGCATTGCGCCTCCTGTGCTTCTCCTGTCTCTGGACAGCTTGTAACTCATTGCTTGGTGGTGGCTCCACTATTGCTGTATATCTGAGTGGCCAGCTGTAGTTAAAACCTGAAAAACTTCAGAGGGGCATTGGTGGTGACACATGTGAGAAACACATTTATGTTCCTGTTACACAGCTCATCATATATTTAAAGCCGTGTTGAAACCATGTTCAGTGTGCCTGCAATTTAGCTACAGCAGAGGATGCATTCTTCTTTTTGTTTGAATGAGGACTGGTATGCAAATATAGGAGTTTGGACTGTACTTAAGACCTTATTGGCAAATAATATTTTACTTATTGCCAGTACTCTCACCTTTTCCTTGCTTGTGGCATTGCGAAGATTATGCGATCCTCATTCTGTTGGGGCCATTACATACCATCCACCAGTATGTTGTTACGATTGACCACAGTACACACAACACCCTCCATTTAGGGGGAAGTTCCACATTTGTTGCCACAGTCTGCAATGACACTGGCTGTAACTTCACTGGCTGTAACTTCACTGGCTGTAACTTCACTGGCTGTAACTTCACTGACGCTGGCTGTAACATACGATCGTGCATATAGGATGCATGATCGTGTGAAAAGAGAAAGAGCCACTGTTGTTGTTCAATGGCAGAGTACAGTAGACTCTCTTTAAATAGAACCTGAAGGGGTGAGGAAAATATTTTTCATGTAGAAGTTCAAGAAGAACATGGGTGCAGAGTTGAAGTACGAAACCAATTGTGTCAGAGGCAGCTGTTCTGTTTAAGCAGCAATTCTGTTTGGGAGATTTCCATTCACTCAAGAGTCTACTGTATTGCACACAGTGTGCAGAAGTTTTGATTGTGGTGCTATCGCTGGGCAATGCCTTATGCCTTATTCTGTGCTAGTTTTATCATCTGCCACTCACAGCTGCCTGATTACGTTGATAATGTAGACAAGCAGCCGCTTTGAGCTCTGGCCAAGCACGGAAGCATCAGAATCCGAAAATGCCTTGCTCCGTGAGAGTGCTCCTGTATAGGCAGTTTATTTTCTTTGAACATAGGCTCACTGTGTCTATCTTTGTTTTAGAAACTGTTCACCTTTTCAGTAATCACCAAAAGCCCTCATTGCTGGTGGCATGCTGAGCTGTCTTTTGTTAAATTGTGCTCTTAGAAAAAAGTAGTTGATGAAGTAAAGCCAAGGAAAGTTACAACTCATGCGGGCCTAATAGTGCTGGAATATACCAAAATGTTGTGATCTGCTTTATATATGCATAAGGAAATTTTATATAAAACAGCCATATTTTACGGTGCACAAGATAATATGTGCTGGGGTGTAGCCTGTGAATTTAGTAGTACACCTATCTGTTTGACACCCAGAGTATTCTGCTTTGCAAGTTCCTCCAGGGTTGTTTAATTATAACCATGTCCTGTGTCATAGGGACACCATGAAGCTGGTTTACAGCTACTGAACCTACTCATTTCAAATTGCTCATGTGGCCAGGGCCAGTATTAGAATACTAAGACTTCACATTGTAAAGCTTTTTTGCATGTTGTTATGATTTTCAATGCTACCTTTCAAATTTGTAGTAACAGGCCCATTGTATGTCCATTCTCTATTTTCGTGTTGTTCTTTTGGGAAAATGTTTTTAATTCAAATTTTCTCAAGTAACTTTCACAAGAAGCCGGCAGTGCAGGAAAAGCCGCCGTATGGGAATTAAGTGGGTTCTGGGTCTGCCGGTCTACACATTGGATCACAAGTCAAGGTGCATTGACACCATTTGTGAACATTGGATCTTGACCATCCAGCATTCTCTGCAGCATACATTTGCCAGAGCCAGTTTTCTTGCTTCCAACTCCTTTCTATACAATGTAATCGAAAAAGTAAAAGGCATAGAAAGGAAATGCTAATTTGTAACTTACGAGAGTGCCTGCTTTGCAGAGTGCACATAGGCGTTCTTGAGAGAAAAAACTAGAAATGAAAACATTATTGATAAAACAAAGCTTGTACATAAGAATTTTTTGCAGTGCATAGGCAGGTAGTCACTGGAAAAGTGATGACATGAAGGGGTATGAATACATAAACCTCTTACAAGAGTTTGATACAAATTTTGCGGTTGTACCTCATTTGCAAAACTCGCAGTTGTACCTCAAGCTAAAGCTTGACCTGATAGATGTATTGGTCTCAGGTACAGAATTTTGATGAATATGTTGCAGCACTCTGACAGAGCTTCGCAATCAGATGGTGTCCACTCTGCACTCCAAGTACCACGCCTCTTTGGAACAATTGCTAATTTCTGTCAAAGTTGCTAATGTGATGTTAGGACTTTTAGTGTTGCCGTAGTTACACTTGTTACGTTGGCATTTTCTTCTTTTTTTTTCTTTTTTTTTAATTCTTTGAGATGCTATGAACACAATTGTGTACACCACTTATTTTTGCTATTTGCATTAAGTGGAGGTTAGAAAAAAGCTAGATATATCATGCTTTGGATGAATCGAACCTTCTGCATTATAAATTTGTCTTCATTTAACTTCATTTTACAGTGTACTGATACATATAATCACTTTTCTCAAGGCACTACCATGTTCGACGAGTCATGCAATGTGTCGCTTCCTGCAAGCTATGTGAAAAGCAAAATTTTTCTTCGCTTAAGACTGACATAGCCAAAAATTAATTAGCATTGTATTCCTGGTTGGGGATTTGATTCTGTTTATGCCAAAAGTAAGCATCAATTACTTTAGGATAAAGAGATATTTAATTACAATTTAATTAGAGTGAGTTACTACACCACTCATACATTCAATAGTTATCTCATTATTCTTGTTGCAATAGAATATTGAGTGTCGTGAAGTGACGAAGTGATTTGGCACATTTACACGCAGTTCTTCGTAGGTGGCGTGTGAAAGGGTTAAAAAAACGAGAACTTGCAAATTGGAAAATAATAATGCAGCCTATATATAATTAAATTGCACGTGCAATCACAGCCGGTCCTATCTTTTTGGTGTCATGAAACAAAGAGGGGTTAATGTCTGTTGCGCTTCATGTGTGCTTGTACTCTCAACAAATGTGTACATGTAGGAAGGACCATGACGACTGCCATGCCTGTCTTGCCTTACCACTATGTAGCAGCATTACTAAGACCTCAGTCCTCTCACACACTAGACAATTGTAGGCCTATTCAAAACCTTTATGTAGAGAGAAACATTCCCACTTAGCTTTGTGAGGCTGTACAGTGTACATGAGCAATCTAGTGCAAATCAACTATAAAGGTTTAGTACTTCATAAAACTTGTAGCTTGTAACTCAAAAAGTCTGGCTCTTAACCTTCTCACCTACAATAGGGGTTGGTTGCAGTTCATCTAGGTATTTTCAGTCTTATGATTTATTACAATAAACCATTTCCACTTTATTCAGATATACACCATGTTGTATGGTGTTATTTGTCATATATACCTAGTGAATCAGTCCTTAGAGTGACTTACACTCCAAACTATTGTAGAAAATGTTTTATCTGAAACTTCGGTCATGAGTTAATTTCTAAGTTGGTGCTTTATTCGAGATTGGGAAAATCAAACAAATATACATATGGTTGAAATTGCTCAGCTGTATATTTATTAAAATTCTCGTATTCTTAATCTATCCAGTTATGTCAAGTGCTCCTTGTTTTCAGAACATATTTTTTTTTAGAAATTGTCACAAGCTGCTATTTTTGCTGATAGGCTATGTGAATAGGTGGACATTAACTACATGAAAATTTTGCATGATAACATTGCAAAATATTGAAAATGTGCAAAACTTGTTTTAATCACCATTGGCACATTTTGTTGTTACAAAATAAAAGCTACAGATTCATTAAGCTATGTTTGTTCAATAGAAATCCTATGACCAGCATCACTTTTAAGACATGCAACCTTAAAATTTGCTGTAAAGTATATTGGGGCTCCAGTTAAGTTTCTCAAAGTTATGCTGCATAGATTATCTTGACTGGAATGACGAGGCATTTTATTTTATTTATTTTGAAAATTGGTGTCTCGGAAAGTTCTTGGTGTTAATATTTCTGCTAAGCAGGCACGGCCACTCCTCCTCAGTTTCAATTTTGTGATTACAGCTAGTGCTTGAAGTAAGTTGTTATGAATCAAATTTACAGTAAAATCTTTTTTGCTGCTAATGACTGCCAAGTCATGTAACCTATCTGCAAGAAGTGCAGGGGCCTGTAAAAACCTGGTGTATCAATTAGTTGCTTTTAGAAGAAAAAAAAATTGCACTGCTTCAAATGCGGATACCAGAATTTTGCGTCTTTTTTATTCTATTTTGATGATCACTAATTGTGGCACAAAAACCTTTGATGTAAGATTTTATCCCATCTTGTATGTTCAGGAAATACATTTGAATCTTAGCGTGCATTATAATGTTTGGTGTTACTTATGGTGCTGAATTAGGCATTGCGATTGCAGTTTATCCTGGACATAACTGTAACTATGCTGTGCCTCATAGTTTTGAAGAAATTAGTTACTTTTTGAAGACAGTGCAGTCTTTTCATTATCTTGTAGTAGCGTATAAGGAATCATATTTATGTATAGACACTAGTCAGTGCACAGTTTGTGAATCTAATATCAGGTGTTACTACTAAGTACGTTCATTCATGGGTAGTATTGAGTTAAGACCGAATGCTAGCGGCAGCTATTTGCAGTTACTGACAGACTCTATAGGGTTTAGTATAGAAGTTTTCTAAATTGAAAATTGAGATTTCAATGCCCCTTAGTGTGGCAACTGCAATAGACTTATCAAGGCATCTAGCTCATACAGCTGCTCACTTTTATGTATAAAGTACACCATTGCAAACAAGAAAAATTACTTGTGAGCACATTCATAAAAGATCAATGGTTGTATTGTGAAACAGTGTGTTTTACAATAAAAAATGGAAGAACACTACTTGGAGCAAGCAGCAGTAGTCAGAAAGATGGTTGATGTATTGCACCCTAGAAATAGTGCAACTGCAAACTTCGACATCTTTCTTTATTTGCCACTGTGGCATGGCTGAGATGGCTGTCAAAACGTTCAGGCACACTGGGCAAGGCTAATCTAGTTGGACGAAGACAGCACAGAATGGCATCCCATTACTGCGTTTTTTTATCTCGCAGATTGCATGAGGATTGATGCTATTCTTGATGGAAACTTGACATGCATACCCAGAAATGAGCTTTAAATGAGGTAGGGCTGTTAGAAATGCTTTGATAATTGCATGCTTAATACATGATTAGTTTTGTATTAGTACACCCAGTCTTCGTCCATGCTTAGACAGCTTTGAAAACTTGCTGCTCCATGTTCACAGCCTTGGACCTGTTATGCAAGCAGTCTCTTAGTACTCTAGGCCATTCGTAGCTTCACGTTTCTATGCTCTGCAACTGCAAGAGGTCTGTAGTGATTGGTATTCAACAGAAAATCTATTCAGTCCAGTACAGCTTGTTGAAATACCTAACTCAACCTCTATTCATACTCCAGTAGTATTCTTTTCTTTCATCCTTAGTGATGTAAACAGTACTGAGGCTGGCAAAAATCGTGGTTCTTATGCCTTGTTAAAGTAGTTTGAGTCTGCCTTTAATTTAGAATTTGTGCATAATGGCACTTCATTCACCAACTTCAACTGCACACACCCTTGTCCTTATAGTTATGTCCAGGCATAGATATAGGCATTTTTTTTGGAGGATAGTGTGGTTAGGGTCTGAGTTAGAGGAGGGGATCGATAATAATGATGATTGTAAGACACTTACGATCAGTTATCATGGTAATGAAATTACTTGCAACCCACTGAATGTTCTAATGACACAGTAACATCAGGGAGCAAGGACTTCGCTTGCTTGTTATGTGCCATATGTGAGCATTGTACATACAAACTTCAAGGTCTGGTCAGTAGGTTTTTACACCCCCTCTGGATCTATGCTTGATTGTATTTATGTAGTGCTTCTAATGATTTATTTATAGATAGGTCCTTAAACTTCTATATTTCTTTTCAGTTTCACACCAGGGCAGCATACTTTGAAAGATCCCACTTCAGGTTACCATTCTGCAGTCTGAAATGTTGGTGGTCTGTTTTTTGTACAGCAATATTCCATTTGATTTGAAAGTTGTTTTGAAGGTTGTGTAAAACATGCTAGCTGTCAAATGGAGAACATTTAGAAAAACATATACATGGTCGAAAAATGAGCTTTTTTTCTACTAGTTGTAGCTTCTAAAGCATGCCTGTGGTGTCCGGGGGGCTTCGCAGCGTGAGCTTCTGCTATTTCACCTTTACACAAGCAATATTCAGCTGAGCAGCATGCTATGGTTTCTTCAATGGGATGAAAAAAGAAATTACTGAGCAAATATTCAAAAGTCTTCAAAATACCCAGAAATGCAATTTGCTGCAATAACACAATTAGAACCTTAGATCTTTATGTAGTCTTGCCTCAAATAAGTTAAGTATACAATAGCAAACATGAACATTAAAACTGATGGGGAATATGTAACCTGGAAAAGCTAATAAATTATTTGGTGCACTTCCTTTGTTTGTGTGCTCTGTTCTAGCCATAGACATGCCACATCTAGCTTTTTTGGCCATGAAAGTAAGTCAAATGATTTTCTAGAAATCGGGAACATCTGCCAGTCTGAATATGCTTGTGTTTCTCAATCACATTTTTAAAGTACTCTGTAACTCTTTATCTTTAGCAAAATGGCCTTGGTTATGCTTCCAGCTTCGAAGGCAAGGTTTTTCAATGCATAACTCCTTAATTTTGTTCCCTTGCTTTCTTTAAAAATTGTGCTTGGGTGTTATTCTTTTCTGGAATTGTAGTCACTTGAAGTAATTCTTCATAGCTTTCCTTTCTGTAGCCCAGTTTCTCTCCTTAGTTCCTTCCTCAAGAAATTCACCACAGCTCTCTCGCCACCGTGCTTGTTATAACTGCATTAAATTGGTACTGACACAAAATTTCGCGGCCAAAAAGATAGTCTGCGGGGTCGATTCCCATGTACGTTCGTATATCATCTGCAAAACATCAACAGCGAAAATAGCTGCGAAGGTATTTTAAATTAGTTTAGAAGTTTGGGTGAGCTCACGACTTCGTGTCATTGACACCCTCCAAGGGGTCCTCACTTCCCTCAAGTCACCACGCTGCAGTCAATAAAACAAGTTACGATTACGTCATAGCCGTAATTTTTCTTTTGCCACAATTGTTCTCCCAGTATATACGTCTCGGCGGCCGGTCGTGAGTGCGTGGTCGTAGCGCACGCTTTGAAAGTTCTGTGTTTTGTGACACTGCAGTCTTGTTTTCTGTTCAAAAGTAATTCTTGATGCAGACCGTGCGGAAGTGTGTCACAGTTCTGTGTGCTGATGTAGCCGGGAGCTGCGAATGCTAGATGTCGGTAGTTGCACCTGGCGGCTTCTTGTTTTTGGAGCTCAAACTGAAACTGGGTGATAATGAGGGGCCTGTAATTAATTATATGTTGCGTGCTGCAGCAAAAGATGTGTCGCGTTTTCACTAACAGGCCTTCAGCAACACATTGCAGCAGAAAAACGCGAGGCAGAAATTTTTGTGTCAGCACCCCTCTAAGTATGATAGAAGTTTTGCTTGCTTGGATTTTTGTTAGGCTATAGGCTATCGGGAAATACTGACACATGATATTATGTCATAGTAGCGGGAACCAATCTCTCCTCCCATTGAAATCAACCACAAGGAGTTTGCTGAGCTGTGGTAGACCATGATAATGCTCTGGAACATTTCATTTTAGGTGTTGTGAGCAGTAACTCTGTGTGTCTAGTTTTATGTGCATGCAGCAGTTGCCAACAAGGTGATGTATCAAACTAGGTCTTGGTGGATCTCGTCGATACTAATTGTGTGACAGTAGTACCTTAGTGCAAATGTAATCTTATGGCATAAGTTTATGTGTAGGTGTCAGCCCTGCTACATTAAGTGTCCCGTGTGAACCCCTTGCTCTGGGAAAGGGTATTGTAGAGTTTGCTGTGCTAGTTCACCTGTGTTGATGTCTAGTTGTGGTTTTGTGGTGCAGTGCGTGTCTATGTTTGTGTACCTTAGGTATCCTCAGTGTTTGAGGAGTCTTTAGATAGGGGAGGCGGCAGGGTCCATTATTGTGAATGCAAATCACGGGGAGTGCAAGAAAACTACCAATGTATTTTTTTTCAGCTAGCCTTACGAACGGCAGAGGATATTAGAATAATTTATTGGCTGTAGTTACGGTACCACTGTGAAAATTAGGTGGGACATTTTCTCTGGCCTTGGAGGTAACATTTGTCAAAGAACAAAAAAAAAACAATTTTTTGTGTGAATTCATGCCCACGAGGCCTTGGGCACCCAAATTCTCAGTTTTCTGTGTTACACTTGGCATGTGGGTCATTTCATGCTAAATGTCCCAGCCATTTTGGCGACTATCTCAAATGTATTTAAAAAAAATTGTGCTGACTTACTGCAGTGAAAAAAAGTGAACAGGTAGAATATTTCCAAGAGAAAAAAAATTTTTGGCCACGTGGCTGCCTTCTGAACTTCCCGGAATGCCATTTGGGTGTTGTTTGCCAAAAAAAAAATATTTTAAAAGTACCACTCCTTCTTTCTATTCCAAATTCAGGTCTAAATGTTAAGTAAAGATGCTTGTGTGAGGTGTTTGTGCAATTTTCTGCTACAAATGCCTCCAAGAATTTAGCGAAAATGTGTTATGTTTGCATTTTTTCTATTGCAATAGTGCACTTTGTGTGAATATCTGAGTAGTGAATACTTACTCCACAGAAGGTGTGTTTTGAGGGGAAAATGTTTTTAACCTCTCAAGCTGTAAACTTCACAAGAAAAAATAATGAATTTTGCAAAATCGTCATTTTTGTTTGTATTAAGATGCAATTTGCACTATGTAATAGTCTAATTAAAAATCACCTTCATACCTCAATTGAAAACAAATGAACAGTTCTTTTTGTATGCTAGATCTTATCATTACATTTTTTTTTGTTTTAAGAAAGAAAATAATTTTTGAACTTTCCGATTGACGACAATGGGGTGGCAGCTGTGGTATGACCAAATGGGAAGATAGGCGCCAATGGGAAAGTTCACAAGTGTCAAAGATAAGTTGGACAGACATGATTTTCCCGGGGTAGTGTATAAAATTCCTTGCAAAGACTGTGAATATGGATACATTGGCGAAACGGGCAATTACTTAAGAAGGCTCAAGGCTCTGGGAACATTTTAACGACGTCAAGAACAAGAAAGTAGCTTCTAATGCCCTCGTAGAACATGTTGCGCCTACTGGGCACGCTATCGACTGAGATAAAGCCTGCATCATTGCCACGGAAAGAAAGTTGTTACCACGATTGCACACGGAATCTCTGGCCATTCAAACTACTGTGCATACGTTGAACAGAAATATTGGGACACTCCCCCCTGTGTACGGGCGATGTCTGCAATACGTGATGAAACGTGCATAAGAATAGCGCACTACGCCATAGCGCACTACGCCATTTGTGGTCACTGTGAACAAGGCTCCCGTGTGGGGAGCCGAAACGTCTTTATAATTTTTGTGTATTTCACCTTGGTCGGCGCTTTTGTTACTTTGCACTATGTTTGTTCCCGACCAAACAAGATCCCATTGGACTCTTGACTATTCGAGCAGTTCATTGTTGCAGTGCAGTGAATCAGCATAATTTTTTTCGAATACATTTGAGATGGTCGCCAATATGGCTGGGACGTTTGGCGTGGAGTGGCCCATTATGCGTCTCTAAATGCACTCAGGGGCCAGCTTCCCTCATGTTGTGTAACAGAACAACAAAAGGGCTTTCGCAAACTGGCATGTGCAAGTGTGCCTTTGCCACAGGTGTGCTTCTGAAAGACAGGAAGGCCTGTGCATGCTGGCCTTTGGCAGAGACCAATGCCAGTGGCAAGCCATAGCAAAGCGACCAGCATAAAATAAATACTATCTAGTGCATGTGCCAGTCTGACATACAAATTTCATGTTGATGTACTTGCACAACTGCTCTTTTGAGTTCACAGCATTGAAGCACAGAAGGGACCAAACCAAGAAAGTTTCCATAAACAAAACAAGTTTTAAGTTCTCCCACTCTGTTTTTCTTGCATATTTCAGTATTCGCACAATAACATGGTCACAAGTAAGCTAGCTGAGCCAGTGTTTTTGTTGAAAATGACCTTGCCGGGATGACAGCTAGCTACTGTAGTTTCAGCTTGCAAAAGATGTCGACTATGTGCAGGTTGTAAATCATTCATTTTCTCCTCTGCTGTGGTTGCCAGTAATTGAAAGTTGCATAATTGTTTGCTCGCTGCTAAATATGTTTTTCTTATCATTTTAAGCTGCCTAGCTAGCTGCCAGTATGATGGTCATGCTAATCTCATAATTAGACTTTCTCTGTCAGAAAACTATACAACCTAGTTTACGTTCTTAGAAAACCAGAGGTGTTAAATGATGTGCGTTATATATTTAGGCATTATAAGATTCTGTGTTAAGTGCTCAAGGTTTCAGCTTGCCTCACGCTCTGTGTATGCAACCTTTGTAGCATACCAGTGATTGGGCCACCTTTCAGTAGTCGGATTTATTGAGATTCTTGTGATGTGTTTGTACCGATGAACATACAGGTTGGAATTTATTGCTGCGACATTAATTTTGCTGTCTGGGCATTTTGCTCATTTGAAGATATGTTACCTGTAATCTGATTAATGGTGATACATTATATATGTCTAGCTTTTTTGCAAGAGTGCCCTGATGCTTGTTTCCTGACAAAACTGTAATCCATAGTGGATTGCTTCATCAGTTCTAGAAAGAACTGCAACTGGAAAGACTATCAAAGTCACTATCACCTGCTTGCATATGATCAAGACAGGATACTCTTGAAAACCTACGATAAGTTGCAGCCTTGTGTATGCACGAGCAAGTGTGGTATAATGTTTGTAACTCAATTTTAGTACGTTTGAACAAAAGGCAGAGAAGAAAAAAGGAGTTGAGTAGACATTGTTTTGTGCATGTTTAGTGTTAACTGTACCAATTCCTTGAGCATAACTATGTTCCATAGTATCCCAGAATGGCAGATAGGTGTAGAAAAGTAGTGATTTAGTAGGTGAACACAGCAGGGCAAAAATGAATTATTCAGGTGCCTAATCATGTCACTTGATTACATTTCAAAGTAAGTAGACTGCTGACATAGTGTATAAGACAGCAAAGTAGCGAGACCTTGCTTTTCATGTGACTGGCACTACCTTTTTGTTTTTTTTACATGCATTAGTTTTTTTTTTCCAAGTTTTCAGTAGACCTTATGTTGCCTTGCCTGATACGATGTAAGGTTTATGCAAACTGCACTCTTGCAGTGATAGAGCATCAAAAGTGCAGTAACTGTTGTAATAAATGTGCACAGACAAAAACACGTCAGTTCTTACACAATTCATTAAGTAGTCTTTTGTTGTGTGCAATGGGTGTTCAATAAGCAATTTAAAAAATGACGACATTATATTCCTTTTAGTTAATTTTATTTGATATTCAGTTTGGTTTCTTTGGAGCTCCGCAGTCTTGGACCAGTAGTTTCCTATGTTCCAGTCTCTTTGAAAATGAGTCAAGTCTCAAGTTCTTACAGTGACTTTGTCCCATAAGAACATCTTGAATACAATCTTGCCACTGCAGTTGCAAACATGTAAGCTAAAGCATTGTCTGTCATAAAGACTACTTCTTTTTTCTCCGATATCAGCTGATATGTTTGCAGCTCTTTGACCGTGCGGTTTAGGGGTGTTGCATGAAATTCTTTGCTTTTAACGGTTGAGAAAGATGACAATCATTTCACTGGTACTAACTTGGAGGGACACTGAAAAGGAAGCCGAGTATTTGCGTATCAGTAAACTACAGTTCACAATCTCATACTGCAAGAGGACGCTAAGCGAGAAAACGCACAAAAAGAAAATTTGGGTGGAGACACCACCCTGAAATTTCTGTACCAACCACCATGATGCCATAATTTTGAAGGAGTCTACTGGGTTGTATGTAGCTTCCAAACAATAAAAACGAGATACATTGCCATCTGTGGGTGCCATAGACCTAGCATACGAAGTTTGAAAGAATTTCATCGAGCCAATGTCACGAAAGTATGAAGCATTTTTTTAGTGCAATGTTTACTCCATGCCGACTTAAATTTCTTGTTTTTTTTTATTGTGTGGTTTCTATTAGCAGGCTTTTCTCGCAGTACAATCCATTTTAATTAACTTATGTAAAAATTGTCTCTGCTCGATGCCCTCACGATGGGTGATTTTCTGTCTCACTTGAACTTATTGGGGGTCCGTGTGCAGTCATCGACACTTGCACAGAGGCTCCATAGATTGACCGAATTTGGCTTTTATCTGTACAGCCATCCTGTGCTTACCAAAAAAAATTTGTTCACCACCACAGGAATTCTCTCTCCAGCTTCCCTTTGACAAGTACTGACAGTCTAACTTAAAAAAAAAAAGAAAAAGAAAACATTTTTTTAACATTGGTGTGGAGGACTGCAATGCGCATTTCCATTCGCCTTCATAATATGAAGATTATTGTGGGGTTAATCTGCAGAAATTCACGCTGCTTATTGAAGAACTCTCATACATATTTGCACGTGTATAATGTCCAGGGTGACTTCCGATGACCAAAAACGAAGAAATATGCTTGTGTTCTAACGCAGTCTGATGGTGTGTGTTATGACAGTAGGTTTGGGTTTAAAACACAAGAGTAGTGCAGAACACTAAACAGGCAAAAGCAGCAACGAATTTACTGTCGCACTGCTAGGAAGTTCCAACAGGAAGACAATTCACTACCTCAGAAGGCCTAATCTATGCTTGAGTTGATGAAATCTCACTAAAACATTGCATTAGTGAATGGAGTCATTAGGCTAGTGTTCTTGCATATAGGGTATAGGGGAGCATATACAGGAACACTATATTAGATCAGCTTGTATTGTTACTTTCTTTTATCATTCTATTACATTTACCTTTTTTTTTACTCTCTCAGCTTTGCCTGCACACCGGTGCATGCTTATTTCCGTAAGTGGTTGTTTGTACTCTTCCAAGGATGCAAGGGTAAATTTCTGCAATCTGCCTTGTACAATTGGGGCAAAAATGGAATATTGTGTTATACTCGTGCAAATACAGTTTATCAACCTCCGAAACTGTTAGTATTGAGCATGTTGCACACTAACTGAACGTTAGCTTTCTGTCCTTGATACCACTCCTAATCAGTTCAGCATATATTGTCACCAGGGATCATATGCACATATCATGCCTCCATCTAATATCTGATATACTTTACAGATTGGATAATGTGTATGGACTATTTCAGAACCCGATTGATTCTCAACATTTCATCGTTAGTTCAGGTGAATAATATCATATTGACTGTGCTGCAAATTGCATGTAATTTACGTGGGGCAAGTACCAGACATTGTATGCCGTGGCTAATAGACAACTTTTGTATAAAGATGCTGTGTTGATATGCTGTTCATATTGTATGCTGAGATGCTGTTCATATTGTATTGTTGTATATCTAGTCATGATTTGTAAACGAGTCCTTGACGTCGTCATTTCTGATGTGTTAAGTGCATAACAAGTATATTTTCACCATAATAAAGAACATGCTTTGTAAAAAAACTAGCGTGCTGTGATGTTCTCATCATATGCGATGTTTCAACTTTTTTTTGTTTGCTGTCACACAAGTGAGACAAATATGAGCATTGTGAGGACACATGACATGTGGCTCAATCAAAAGTGAGGAATTGTTGCTGTATCATTCACTGGTTCTTGTCAGACACCCGTACCACAGCAGCAATATTGGTTCAACAACTGTTATGATACAGGATGCTGGTACACATTCAGTTTTTTATGTTTATTATGATAAATGGTTATTGTCACCATTTTTATATATTGTCTCTGTTATATTTTATGCCATTGCTGCCTCTATTTAGCAGCAATTCTTTAGTGCCCTATCTGCAAGTGAAGACAAGATTATTGGTACAATCTTTATTGGACACTGCTAGTTTGCTGTATCAAAAGGATTTCTTTACTGTGAACATCAACAGCTTTGAGTTGATCACAAAACACTGGACATCGTTGTCCTGTATTTACAAACGTTTGGGACTGCCACGTAAACTTGGTGTACTAGTGTCTATGCTAAGATAAATGGGCCATGACACCCAATTTTCTCTCATCATCTGTGCTATGTGGTTAATTCTTGGATGTTTATAAACAAGCTGGAGAAATTTCAGTGCATTTGGTCGCTTACTCAATTTATAATAAAGAATTTCATCAACATGCGAGCGGCCCGAGAGTGACAACACTGGTACACTCGCGAGTCATGACGCAACAAGCTGCTTGTTTTGCAAGTGTCTGCATTCCAGCCAATGATATTGTTTTGCGGTCAGCTTTGCTCACAGTGGAGCTATTTCAGCTTTCTTCAGCTTAGCATCGAAAAGTGATCGATTTAAAGCAGCTGAAACTTGGTAGAAAATGACAGTTGCGCTCCATGAAGCGTATGACGTTGGCCACGTGCAAAATGGTGGTCGCCAGCAGTGGGCGTGGTTTATATTCATTGACTTCTAGGACGCATTTTGCAATGATATGCTCTTTCACGGTACATTTTTCATACACAGTATACACTCTCAGTAAGTGAAAATCTGTTAAACGTAACTGCTGCTGAAATGAAACAAGTGCTTCTGACGAGGTTGGTTTCGTGCTTGAACGCTGCACCCCTCTTCATGATCTCAGTAAACATAACATATTTTCCTGGTCCCTTTCGTTTAACACGTTCACTGTGCCGTGGGTCACCGGTCGGTCGCAGCTGGTGCTCCTCTTATGCGGCTGCAAAGTTACGTGCATTTCTCTGCTTGCAGCTGCGATAACTTTATGACACTTGAACACAGAGGCATGATTTTTGTTGCAAGAGGATACACATGGCCAGGGGAATTCTGGTATGATGGTAAACGCTGTGACCCACTGGTGATCCATGACACACTCAATAAATATGTTTTGCTTTGTGCAATGTGACCCACTGGTGACCCACGTGAGAGAACTATCTTGTACTACCATCTGAAGTTGGAAATTGCAACTATTACATATTGCCTATTGCACTGCACGCGAGGTTACACGATTGTTTCTAAGGAACCGAGTGGTGGCACATTCTTTCATTGTGTTGCTTGCAAACTTTTTTTACAGTGTTTGAAATGTGTGCCGTTGGACTGAGTGTAGTAGTTTTCCCTATTGCTACATAACTTTTTAGTGGGCCTAAGGGAAGCTCATGTCTTTTACTAGTGCAAAAGAAAGCACAGCAGCGAGGAAAGAAAGCAACTCATTACATAAACTGACTTCATGTGACATCTGATGACAAGCACTTTGTATTAAACAGAGATTTGTGTAAAAAAGGTGGGAAACGGCTGTGAATCTCTTGAATGAACACGCCAAATGCCTGCTTCAAAGGTGGTAGCGCCATCTCATTGGTTAAAATTCCTACTAAATTTCAGCTTTTATCTACTTAATAAATATTTCTGTCATAGAAACTGACATGTGCTTCCTTGTAGCAAGCACTTTGTATTTAAACATAAATTAACACGAAGAAGGCGGAAATCAAAGAAATGCACCGAATGCCTGCTGCAATTGTGGCAGCACCGTCATGTGCAGCAAAAAATAGTGGCATAGCCGCGTGTCCCACCGGTGGGTCACAGCACTTCCTGGGGGATATACCCTATGGCCCACTGGTGGGTCGCACCACACCTAAAACCTGTAAGCATGTCAAAGTGAACGTGGTAATGATAGTCTACTGTATGTAAAGTGATAATACACCTACCACGGCCGCTGGATAAAAAAGCACCCATGCGCTCTTTCATCCAGTGGTCGTGCATCTACCTATAATTTTCGCTGAAAACCGCGATTCAGTGGGTGACCGTGTAAAATGGCCCCTTTAAAGGCCCACTCTGGCGGTTTTTGACCATGTCTGAATAATGGTGTTTTTATGTTCCTGAGACACTCTTGTTATGCGCCCGATAGCTGAAATGCTCCACAAATTCAAAAATAATTTTTAATTACCAAAAAACCATAGTACTGAAGCTTCCACGTGTGACGTAATCATTTGCCTTAACCTGCCCGATTGCGCATATTGCCTGCCAGGTGGCACTACCTGTCCATGTCGTGCAGCCTTCACAAGTTTGGCCGACGCGGAGAAGGCGAGCTTTGTGTGCAGGCTATGCGTTGCACTGAAGGCGGCAGTGTGGCCTATGGAGGCTAGCATTGATGGGCTGCAGGGGGAGTTGAGGGTGGAACGGGAGCAGAGGATGGAACTCCAAAAACAGCTCGAAGCGTTGCGTGAGTGGGCGGAGGCTACTGCCAGCCTATTAGAGCAAGTGAAAGGCAATCTTGGAAAAGAACGAGGACGGACCGAGCTCGAGCAGCGGGTAAAGGAGCTAATTGCGCTTTGTCCCGGTACTGAGCGGTGTGAGATGGAAGGCGTGGGTAGCAGAAAAGGCGACAGGCGGGAAGGAACTGGCGAGAAGGGAGTTCAGGGGGCCGCAGTGCCTGGTCACAGCATGAAGGCTCCGAGAACATACAGCTCTGTGGCGCGTCAGTCTTTGAGCAGGGCAGGAACACAGGACACACGGCAGAGAGAGAAACAGGTGAAGGAAACAGGAGTGCCATCACAAACAGGGGCACCATCGCAAACAAAAAGCCAGTGACTGGAGCGTAGAAGGGTCCTAGTGGTGGGGGAGTCCAACGTGGCCAGGGCTAGGGATGGCGTCTTCACGACAGTGAAAAGGGATGGGAGAGTGAGGGTGGACCCAGTCGGGAAAGTGCATGGTGGATGCACTGGCCAAAGCTCAGGAGGTTGTAGAGTACAGCACAAAGGTCGAAAATCTCGTCATTATTAATGCTGGCCTTAATGATGTGCTGAAGAAAAAGACCCAGAACCTTCAGAGGCAATTAGAGGGTGGGATGCGTAAACTCCTAGACGCCTCTGGGAGTGTGCATGTGACCATATGCACAGTGCCAGAGGTCTCGGGGCAGTCTCGTGGGATTGAAAGGAGGGTGGTTGAGGCCAACTGCGTGATCAAGGGTATGAGCCAGCAGCTTGGATACAGTGTATTGGAGGTGAACCAAGACGTGTACTAACCCCTTTGCGAAAATGCATTCATTACAGTGGTGTGATGGGCAGGAGGGTAGGAAATATGACGGGTCGTCAAGCCACAGCTTTTTAGGGGGACCCAGAGCCCTGAGGCTAGCAGTGTAGCCAAAGACAATTCTAAAGGGACTTCAATATTCAAGCCACGTGGGGTCCGTGAAAGAAGAAATCAACGTAAGCACAAGGGCCGAGCTAAATCAGACATAGGCTATATTGTCACGTGCTTGATCAAGAAAGACGATGGCAGTCGTGCATGTACCATGAAGGACTATGAAATGGATGAAAAAGAAGAGCTCGCTTGTGCGTTCTATTAAAAAGACCGACCTGCTTCTGCTGTCTCAATGTCTGCAGCAAGACCTCTGTTTTGACATCATGACACTGGTGGAGGTGCTGGAGCCTGCAACCTGATGCAGGACAGTCTTGCTCAGACCCGTTAATCTAGTCCAGAGACTCAGCCCCTCGTCACGACTCCGGAGTCCGCACCTGTGCCGCCTCTTTCGAGCATGGCAGCTCCTACTACATGCACTGTTATCCTGCCATCGCAGACCACTCTTCCCTCGCAGATGAATCTTGAACATCCTCGCGTTCCTGAAGTTTTCCATGGAGAAGAGTACGAGGATGTCGAGGACTGGCTCGAACAGTTCGAACGGGTCGCTGTATCCAACCACTGGAGCGAACAGCACAAACTTGGCCGTGCATATTTCGCACTGGAAGATAGCGCTCGCACGTGGTACGAGAACCGCGAGGCTACATTCTTATCTTGGGAAGATCAATTCCCGTCAAAAGCTCCTCGCTACATTTTTGAGAGTTCTGCAGACTCCCCAACAAGAACAGGACTGATTGAGTGGATCGTCGGGACAGGGTTGGACGTGAGGAACTCTCAGGCTATGTCATGGACATTGAGGAAGCAGAGGTAGAAGCCTAGAGAAAATAGGCAGCAGCCCAGAGAAAAGAGGCGAAAGCCCAGAAAAGGCGGAAACCCAGAGAGAAGAGTCAAAAGAAGCCAAAATGATACATATACACGAGGCTAAAATACAAGCATTTGACAAAGACATTGAAAGGAGGAAATGTGAAGTTCGGGCACAGCATCGGAGGCGTCTTTGGCCGTGTATATGTTGGATAAGTGTGAAGCCCAAAAGGTGCAATGAAGTGGCGAAGACTGTAGACTGTGAAGTCGCCGAGAAAGCCGCTTTTTGCGAGGTACCACCCGAGAAAGGTACGCGTATCTATCAGTGCGACATGCAAAGTGATTCTTCGGCGGAGAGAAAAGAGCAACAGGTCGCTGTTAGTGAAATTGCACGTTGGGAAGGTACGCGACTCTCCGATGGTGTGAAGGTAGTGCGTGTAGAGAGTGGGACGGCGAATGGTATGCAAACTGTAACAAGTCCAAAAGGTGTTCCATGTGAGACCAAGGCTGGTTCCAGTCGCCCTGGTGGGGTCATTGAACAGAAGGATGAGCTGGAGACCATGCTCGAGCTTCAGCAAGGGAACGACCTTTCGGATGTTGAAAGAGAGAACAATGAAGGTAGTCCTAAATGTAGTAAAGACATAATGCTACTGAAACCCGACAGTACTGCCAGCGAGGGCGAGCTACTGTTGAAAGTATTTCCTACAGATAGCATTTGAAATGTTTCAGAGGGTGAGAAGGTACATTGCAAGGCTGTCATAGGTGTACAAACAGGCACAAGTTCGGTGGAGGATCATTTCGAGAAAAAGTCTAATTCCAGCAGCATGAACAGAGATTGTATGTTGTTAGAGACATGCCTCGTGCAGCGGCACGTAAACGATCGGCCGCACAGTAAAAACTACCTGGAAATCAAGCAGGACGCTAATTTCCAAGAGTTCAGATCTCTGGAGGGCCCAGAGTTTGGTTTTGTGAGGGGTAGCGCAGATAAATTAGCCCGTCAGAGCAATTGAGTGGGGAAACCGAAGGGCAAAGGCTGCAGAAAGGGTGGTGCACAAGCACACCTGAACTGCAAGATTGCCGATGACGTAACCAGGAAAGTTTGTAACAACCAAAGAAAGGTTGTACGCAAGCGCCACCACAAAAGAAGAAAGCAGGGACATGCGGCACTACAAAAGGTGGAGGCAGAGGGCACAACGCAGCGAAAACGGAAGGGTTGGCCATCGGGCAATACAATAAAAC